AGGTCTATGTTATTTGGAATAAATTTTATTTTATGAAAGAAGAAGATTCTTCTCTTGACGTGATTTACAGGCATGGCATGATTTACAAGCATGTTTTTCCTCTTTTAATTGTTGATTTTTACTTGTTTGAGATCCAAAAAAAATGTAGATATAATTTCCTAGCTTTCTTTTATACTTCACAAATCTGTATTAGAGTGAAATCCTCTTGATAAAAATTACGGATATTTGTCATAAGAGGCATATCAGCAAAAAAACAAAAAAAAACCTCATAATAAAAAAGTGTCATAAAGCTTATATTTAAAAGTGAGAGTAAACTTATGACAAATTATTACACTATGCCCTTATGACCATGTGGGAGATATTGAAACGTGTGTCTACAGGGCCTCATGTTATCATATCCATTTTCATGAGAAGAATTTCATAGGAATACTTTATAAAACATTTCTTAATATGTATGTGTGTATATAAAACTTTATATAAGATTGTAACCTTATATTATATTATTAAAATAAGGTGAACTTAAAATAGTTTTCCATAAGAGAATGTTCCAGCATTGGATAATATGATACTCCAATTGTTATCTCAAACTCAAGATGTATGGACCTTAAGAAAGAAGGAATTCCATGTCCAAATAATAGTGCATTTTGTAATAAGTTATTTGAGCCATCTATTTTCAAGATTTTCAAGTATTTTTTGATCTACATGATCTATACTACTTTTGAAATTTTAAATTTTATAACTAGGGATTAAAATATATTTTCAAACCATCATAAGATTTTTAACACCGGAATGACATCTCTCAACAAATTTTAGAGATGTGCCTTACTTCTTCATATATAATAAATAAGGAAAAGTATAGCATAAGGTCATTTATGCTTGGTACAAGATGGTCACATTAACCTTGACTATTGGATATAAAATTATGTGGCTGCAATTATTCTGTTGAACAAGCTCAAGCTTTAAAAAAACTTTTCTTGAACTTTGTGACACATCCAAGCTATCAAATTTTACATCTTCACATCTGATGGTTGTAAGTAATTGTGACCATCTTGTATCCAAGGTAAATGGTCTCATTACATGTAGTCACAATAAATAATTATTTTCTAAATAGTTTCAAACAGTGATAAGATGATAAACGTATCTTTAATATCTAGGAGGTTAAGTTTTAGAGACCGGTTGAAAAGGAACATTGCACTTCCCTCTTTCCAATACTTTGGTCCCTTACTCCGCATAAAGAAATCGTATCTAACCTAATCATCGAAACAAAAATCAGAATTATGCGCACGATGCAAACCATCCCCCTTGAAGTTTAGCTTTATTATTGGAAGTAGTCAATAAAGGATAAACGTTTTATGTGCCCACCTCAAAACTTCCTGTACATTAGGGCATAAGGATAAGTTAATATATGCCCTGATGCTCCCGTTTGTTGATCAAGCCTATTTCTCACATTTGGTTCATAGAAAATCTCTGAGGCCACTATACAAAATGTGGAAAATCATTACCATTTTGTGGGAAAGTGGCTTCATAACCACAAATGTATGATGCTAATTTATTTAGAAGCGTTTGTTTTTATCGAATCAAAGACCCACCAAGCCATACTCACCATTTGTTTCATGGGAAATTTCTCTCAAGAAAATCTCCATGAGGCATTCCATTGTACAAAAAGTTGAAATCTTACCGTTTTATTGGAAAGCAGCCTCATAACCAAGGGATGTATGAAGCTAATTTCTTGGGAATATCTTTTTGTGGAGAGAGGTTTCTAATGAACCAAAAAAACCCCATTGATGCTTTAAAAATTGAGAAACAGGCTCCTTGCCTGTAGCCTACATTTCTCTTTTGCAAGGCAGTGTCACCTCTTTCTCTATATATATATATAAGAAAAAATCTTCCCAACACTTATGGGCAAAAAATGAATAGTGATTTCATCTATCCTCATCACCGTTCAAATTTCATCGTGCAGTCATAATTATCCAGTAATGTTTTATTTTTGTATTTTCTTTTCTATATATCGGTATGACCTAAAATTTGAAGAATATGTACATCTTACTGAGACGCATTTAATAAAGTATATAAAAAATTATCTGCGAAAACAAAATTGACCAAAATACCATCGAAACTTTGAAGGGGTATTTTGGCCAATTTTTTCATGTAAAATATTTTTTATATTTTCGAAGATTTCCCTATTTTTGATGAATACACGCTCCAAATTTCAGGTCATTTCGATTTGTAGAAAAAAAAAAAGAACAATGAAACACTACCGGACAATCGTGACCGCACAATGAACTTTGGACGGTGATGGGGGTAGGCAAAATCACTGTTGGCATTGCATAGTATTTTCTATGTATATATA